GACAGAGAGAAAAGAGAAGGTTCACGAATCTATGGGCACAAAGTGGAGAACCGTTACAGAACCCCAATAAGAATTCACAGGCACTCTCACAAGACAGCCAACTCACAAGTGCCAGGCACTCCAAAAGGTAGGGACAGCCAGATGGTGTTAGACAGGGAAGCAGCAACAACCATACAAGAGCACATTTCTAACAGCATTCAGTAGAATAAAGAGACTTTGTCTCCTGTCCTCTCTCCTGCATAGCTAAGGCTTAAGAGACAAATGTGTTTCAGAGCTCATGGAGTTCTCAGCAAGTCCAGCCAGGTGGGCGAGGCTCAGCTCAGAGGAAAAGGAAGAGGTAAGATTTCAACAAATATGAAACTAAACTGCACTGAGTTTGTTTTTTATTAGTACACATTTGCAGTGCATACTGTTTATATCCCTTGAGGGGAGTTGGTACACATATATGAAACATCTTAATTCCTTTTTTCACCCCCTTTCCCTCCCCTTCTGCCCCTCTCCATCTCTTGATCCCCTTCCCATTTAAGAAAGATCTATCTCCCAGCTTCTTGGTGTCTGTTTTTATTTTTCTCTTCATTTATAATTTGGGTTTCTCATATAAAAGAAACCATATTCGCTGACTATTAACAACATGAAACCCGCTCAAGATATCAACCCGGGATGGGAAAGGAAGATTCAATAAATAGGCCTGAGCACTGTGGCTGGGGGAAAAACTTCTTGTGTTTTTTTACCCCTTTGGTGAGTTGTCACTGCTCCATAAACTAATTATACTTTAATATTTCTTAGTCATCCCTGGCTTAAACATTGTGCTCACCAGATTGTTCCAGGATTTCTCTTTCCTGTCCTCCCTGAGGTAAAATCCATATGCTTTGGGGACCATACAGACACTTGGCATGGTGGTGCGATGTGGAACAGATCCCAGGGCCATTCCTCTGTCCATACACTGGCTTCAACTGTATCAAATACAGTCTACATCCCATCTGAACCCAGCTTGAAGTCACCTTGATATGACCACACAAACCTTTGGGGAATCCATCAACTCCCACTACAGATTTCCAAACCCTTTCCATGTGTACAATGAGGCTTAGCAGTGTTTCCAAGTGGGAGATTTGAGGCCTGTCTTGGAGCCCCGCTATCTTGACATCGCTATGCAGCCACAAGGAGTGGGCCAATACAGAGGCCTTTCAGAGATCCTCCTCTTCTTTAGCTCTTCTCTGTCTTCTCCTTCCTAATCTCTCTCCAACTTGAGAAAACATTTTCTAGACTGTGTGGTGTTAAAGAGAGAAGTAAGATAAAAATTATTCCCCTTGTCATAGAGTCTTCCAAATCTGTCCTATTTTACAACCAGATCAACACTTTTGAATCTAACAGCTAAGAATCTGAAACCTTCATTCTCTGGTTCCCCCATAAGGTCTGCCCTAAAGTAAATATGCCTCCTATCTTAGTCTGTTCTGTGCTATTACAACAGAATACTATACCTGGAGTAATTTACAAAGAACAGAGATTTATGTCTTACAGTTCTAAATGGAAAGTCCAAGGTCAAGCAGCCATAGAATCTGGCGAGAACATTTTCGCTCCATCATTCCATGCCAAGAGGCAGAAGCACAAGAATGAGCAAGAGAGAGTTGAACTTGCCTTGACAATAAACTCACTCTTGAGAGAATGAATTAACCTATCCATGAGAGCAGAACCCTCATAATCTAATTATCTCTTAAACTCTCAACACTTTTTGCACTGGGGATTCAATTTCAAATACATGAACTGCAGTAAACACATTCAAATTATAGCATTTTCATTCTAACTCCCCAAATGAGAACAAAGCTGTCGTAATTACTTTTCTTGTTGCTGAGACAAAATACCTGACACCCAAAGTTAAAGGAGGAAAGGTTTATTCAGCACAAAGTTTGTAGAGGTTCCCCTCCATAATTGTCTGGTTCCAAGGCAGTCTGGCATCACAGAGGAAACACAGTTCATGGCAGGCAGAAGGTAGCAAAGCAATCAAGAGATAAGACAAGCCTCTTTCTGTCCCTTTTACTATAACCAGGCTACCAGCACTAGGGCAGTGCCAAATCAATCAGGGAACTGATTTAGTAACCACCCACCCTTAATCCTAGCACCCTTATTCCTAGCACTGTGCCATAAATCAATCACACACTCTAGATTCATCCATCTCTGAAAACTACCTATGACTGCATGAGGCTTTGGGGTAACATCTAGACACAAGCCATAACAATATCATAGAAAAAGAAGTCAATTGCCCCATATCACTACAAATACGGTGCTATGAGTGGCTTGAATTTGGCAGCCTGGCTAGGAGGCCTGGATAGGGACTGAGCATCCATCTCTAAAGCCAAAGGGCTGTTTCCCTCCCTGCTTCTCTTGCTCATTCTTATGGGGCTGAAGGCAGATACAGTCCACCAAACCCCTCTTAAATTCAGAGAAAACACGAGTGAGAACAAACAGAAAAGGTATCAGAATAATGCAAATTAACAATATTGGGTATTAAACTTGGGGAGATGTTATTTATTACAATCTTCTATAAGTTGGTTTAAATGAGCAAAAAGATGAGGTTGGTCTTTGGAACATGTGATGGCTACTGATAAGTACTAACCTCTCTATAAGGAGAAGTAACAGAAGTTAGTGATTGTTGTTTTCGTCCACGAGCCCACTCCCAGAACAAGGTTCAGGAACCCGGACTGGAAGGGCAAGGCATGGAATGACCACGCAGACTCCAGGGAGGTTTCTGGACACTTCCATTTTACTGAGGAAATGTACAGATTTATATAGGGTAAGGCAGGGGTGGAGCCAGGGTGCAGTCGGGATATTTGGCACATCATTATTGGCCACATGTTATGTTTTAGGGGCTGAAGCAATGGAGTCAGGACCTTAGAGGTTTTTGAGAGGAACAGTTTATCTGCCTAAAGTCAGATCTCTACACACCCGAGGGGGCAGATTATTCCAGCCCTAATAGGCCTCGGAGTTTTCTTATGAGAGATAGGTGCAACGCTCCTGACTCAGCCAGACATGAACCTGATCCTCAAGTGATCCTCTTGTAGGAGGTGCAGAACCTGTTAACAGCTCTTGTTTCTAGCTTCTGTCTACAATGAATAAAGCCACTATGATCATTCTTGTACAATTGATAAGAGTTTTTATACTGATATGAATTTTTATATCTCTGAACAATACTTTCTCAGTTTTCCAACATATTGCTTTGTTTTATGCTATTTTATACAAGCATAATTAACAGTGCAACACAATTTTATAAGTTTTGGATTTCTTTATTTTGAATAAAATTAATTTAATAGTAGAAAAATCCAATTTATCATCTCTCCATTGACATTATATATAATGCAAAAGGAAAAGCATAAAAGCAAAGGAAAGCTGGCAGCAAGCCAGAGAGTCAAGAAAGTGTTGGGAATTGGTATATACAGTTAACAAACTGAAAGGTGCATGTCTTCTTCAAAATAAGCAGCCCCAGCTTCAGCCAATTCACCATACAGGCCAAATACTCAAATCTAATTTTCAAAAGAAGACATATTTTTGTCTGTATATATGTATACAATCTCCTAAACTTGTATTGGCCAATAATACAATAAAAAACTTGACCATTGGTACATTAAAGCTGTCTAGTATTAATGCGAGATAAAACATCACTGCAGGCCAAATGTGGCCCAAGGCTCCTGCGTATCTACCTAAAGCTTCTGTTCTCAAACCTAGCTATGAACAACAAGACATTTTAGCTTTTTAAAAACATAGCACACCTGAGTCCTGATTTAGCACACCCAGTTTCTGATTTAGTAGATTTGGTATGAATCCTGAATATCTTTATATATATTTTTAAGTACTGCAGAGTTCACACTGATTCACAACCAGAGTTGAGAAGTCCGAAGTTAAATTCTGGGTTACCAGAATTTGTCACATTTCCCAACTTCTACATAAGGTTCAGAACACAATGAAGCCTTCTCAGTCCAAGACTACCTGCTTCTGGGCTCAGATACTCATCTGGAGCTTAGTAAATTTTAACTGGTGATACACACCAATGAAAACTGACTTCCTGCACTGGAGATTTAGCTCAGCAGTGCCACCCACTGCCTCACAAGCACAACATCCTGAGTTTGATCCCCAG